CTTCTATACAGACTCATATCAAAGTCTCAACAAGTGTTGCAACCCATACCTGTGACTAAACTTCATTCCATCATTAATATTGAAATATTTAAAGACAAATAAGTGGTAAAATGACACGGTTGCACAGTGAAGCATGAGAAATGCACACTGAAATAATTCAACCCATAAATAATGGAGAAAAACTTTTAAACTGTATAAATCATTATAGGACTTAACATTGACGACACTTTATTGACCTCTCAAAGATGTTTATTAACCTCACCACAAATAATTACATATAAATGAACATTAATGTAAAAAAAAAGTAAAAATAAAAAGTAAATATTAACTTTTCCTTGGCTTAGCCCCTTATTTATCAGAGGTCACCACAGTGGAATGAACCGTCAACTATTTCAGCATACGTTTTACACAACAGATGCCCTTCCAGCTGCTACCCAGCACAAAGAATCACCGATACACTCTCACATCCACACACCACCAATTTAGTTGATCCAATAGAGTGGAGGAACTATGACGCCAATTTGTATGCAAAAACCCGGAAGCGAGTTAGCATTTTAGCAGTTCCGGTTCCCTCGTCCCAAAGTCAATGGGTTTTTTCAATAGGGTTTCAGTAAAATCGCTTAAATAAGGTTTGTGGCTAACACAAACTCAAGATACTTTCACGTTTTGTTCTATGACATAAAACACATCACACACTCTTGAATTTTTTAATTGGTTATGCTTCTTCAAAAAGACGGTTGCTATCAAGTTGCTAAATGGGACTACAGGCGGTGTCGGGGACATTATACGTCATCGTGCTGACATGGTCTGGCGCACAGCTCGCTTGTGTTGGGCATTTGGATTTGTCTGTTATTTAGGTATTTTCATGAATAGTATTTTATAGTTTGTAGTATTATTCTAATTGGGAATTCAGATTGTGTGTAGATAATTCCTTCACTTGAAAAGGCTGTTGAGACAGATTCATTTGTTGATCATTTATTTTAATAAACAATATTATGAAGATACTGCTTACTGCTGCAGCCTGTCCCTTTCCTGCTCCCAGTAATGCAAACGTATGAATAGATGTGTAAAAATACATGCATGTTAACTGTAATTTTCACGTGATCTAGTGATTTTTCATCTTTTTTTCTTCAGCTGAACACATTTAACTCGGTCTTAACTACCATATTTACACTCCTCCATAAAATGTATATCATATGTGACCGTATGGGCTGCTTTTCACTGTTCTTTGTGACAAAAAAACGAATATTGAATGTTGCTCTGTGTCCATGATGGAACTTGCAGGTATTTGATAGACTTGTCCCTCATGCCTCATTTCTGTCGTCTGTTAAGATAAGCGGGCTGTGTGCACGTGAGCGATACACTTTTTTTAAATATGTCTGATGATAATGTAGGCAGATTTATACACACAGTTTTAAAACTTTTAGAACAATCATAAAGCAAAACATATATTTCCCATAAAAAAACGATCCAAAAGGCACATAGGTCTATGTGTTTTTGCGTATTTATTTGTTTATAATATATACCGTGGATTAAAATATAATAAACAGAGAGGTCAACTCTTTGTCACATACAATATTTCTAAAAATAAGCTTGATAAGTTGTCTGTAGCAGGGTGGGGCTGACGTCACAGACGAGCGCCCCGATGGCTCTGTAGTCCATTTATAGCCTAATGTTAGCTTTTCAGTATTTGCGTTTGGATTTACGATCAAAAAGTGCTCAAAGTTGTATTTTCGTGTGAGGATTTTCCGGCTGGACAAAACGTGTAGGTGTAATGAACAGTGTTTGAACACAGAGCTTATTATTTGCAATCTTCAAAAAGCCTATGGGAAAATCCCACAGGGATTTTTACGAGGGAACCAGTTTTATGCTACAGTAGCAGCCGATTAGCCTACAAAGTGAAGTCATAGTTCCTCCACTCTATTTACCTAAAGCACCTCTTTGGACTGTGGGGGAAACCGGAGCACTCGCAGGAAACCAATGTTAACGCAAGGAGAACATGCAAAATCTACTCAGAAATGCTAACTGACTCGAGCTTCTTGTTGTGAGACGACTTTTGATTTAGTGGTTAATTCGTATGAATTCGTAAAATCTAATCATACAATTAAGTACAATTTGCTCATCACAAAATGGCGGTTGGGGTTAGGTGTGGGGTTGGGTGCCACGCCTCCTTTTTAAAAAACATACATTTTCACACGACTGAACTTGAATTCGTAACAATTAGCCACTAAACTGACTAAACGTAAAATACTTACTTTTACTTGTGAGATCAGTCTGGTGCCACCCAAATATAAATATAGATAATTATATATAAACATATCTCAAAACACGTTTTTTGACCCACAACCTTAAATTGTAATAAATAAGCTTTTGGATTTTGGATTCCAGTGAAGTTTCACAAAGCCTGAATTACCAATAGTAAAAACTATTAGCTTGTCCAATGTAAAGATCATGCGTCAAATAAAAATATATCATTATCATTATAAACTAAATCCAGGACGTCATGGTGGTGCAGTGGGTAGCACGATCGCCTAACAGCAAGAAAGTTGCTGGTTCGGGTCAGTGTGGAGTTTGCATGTTCTCTCCGGGTTTCCTCAGGGTGCTCCTGTTTCCCCCACAGTCCAAAGACATGCGGAATAGGTGAATTGGATGAGCTAATTTGTTCGTAGTGTATGCGTTTGAATGAGTGTGTATAGATGGTTCCCAGTAATGGGTTGAAACTAGAAGAGCATCTGCTCAGTTGGCATTTCAGTGTAGAGCTTGCATGTTCTTCCATTGTATGCATGGGTTTCCTCCGGGTGCTCCGTTAATTCCATTGTGGCAACCCTCATGAATAAAGCCGAAGGAAAATTAATGAAATATAACTAAAATAATATGCTGAATACACTATTAGTTGCATTTTTAATTATAAGTGTAAAAAGGCCTTGCATCCTGACTTAGACCTTGTAAGATGTTGTTCATTAGTGATCTGAAGACCTGCTACTGTAGCAATGCTGATAATTCTTTGCTCTACACTTACTAAAATGACTTTCTGTACATGTATAATACTATTATAATTCCATGTCTTCTTGCACAGGTAAATAGTAAAAAAGCTATATTACAGACGTTAAGAGAAGGATTGCATATTAAAGAATTATATAGTTACCATCATGGGATCAACAACTGAACCCTAATACTGCTCCAGAACTTTCTCTATACGTAAGCTGTAGTCATGGAACACTTACTGCAGCTCCTCAATATCAAGGTCATGTGCTTGCCTGCCAGAAAACTCATACTGATAAAAGACAAGTCACTCTGCATAAGGCATCTGCCAAGTTAATAATTGAAAGTACAAAACGGCAGGTGCCAAACGCATCTTGAAACCCCATTAAACACGCACACACAAACACAAACATATCAGTGTGGAGACCCACATGTAACACTAATCACATTAGCACATATGGCACTGCATAAAAACCCCTAACACCTAGGGAACCACATATTACTGTGGACTGTGCTCTCAAACCAGGCTAGCGAAAACAGGCAGGAAAGTGTAATGACTGTGACATATTTACATAACCAGCATGTGAAAAGACACAATAGAAATACATCCAGGATTTTAACAATGAGTCATTCCCACCGCACACACATTTCTTATAAAGGATCATGCGGTCATGGAGAACAAGTAATGACCTTGTAGATCTGCTGTTTGCACAAGTACGTCCATTTTCAGTATAGAACAAAAGGGGAGTGGAGAGGAATAACGAGTAAAAACTGTTGAAGCTCGTTTGTGGCCAAAACACGAGTGCAGTCCAGAAAGGCTGTGTGGCTTCTCCTTGATGAAATAATGGAGGAGGTCAAGGATACTTTGTAGACTGCAGAACAAGTGTCATAGCGGTGGGAGTGATTACACCATTGTAATGCTTGCTCTAGAGGTGTCTATAAGAGAGCTGAAATTGCCCATAAATGAATAATTTGAATGCTTAAAGAAAAATTCCTGGCTTAATCCAGTTTGCCATGTATTAAATGCAAATCATTCATTTAAATGAACTACATTACACCACATTACTTTATTAGCAGCGCTGGGTAATATTTGATTGCATGCAATCTAGATTACAAGACTACAAATTTCTCACTAAATTATTCATAATTTATAGATCTCTTTGTTGTCTCTGAATGTCATACAATGTCAGACATCTCTGGTTGCTCCAGTCAAGCACCCTGGCGATGTAAAAAGAACAAAATATTTTAAACCTGAAAAAGGTTGACAATGTCATTGTTATATTTTCTTATATATTATTGACTACAGTTTTATGCAAAGGTTTGAGCACCCCTCTGTGGCTGCATACTTTCTTTATAAGAGAAGATTGCAGCGAAATGCCGTTCGGTTTGTAGAGAAAGTTAGATGATCTTGTTTTTCAGACAGAAATCCATAGTGTAGCAGTATTAAAATGTGTAAAATTAAATTAAAACTAAAAAATAGTTTATGCTAAAGCTTGGGTACCTTCTGCGTTTCAAAACCTGTAGTCGTTTACTGCTGATTGATTACAACAAAAAATTGATTTATATATATAACTTCACAATCCTTACAGAGGTGCAGCCAATCCTGAAAAAAGATATTTAAGATAGCTGATTGCTCGTTGTGCTTCTCTTTATTGTGAACCTGAAAGTAGCAACATGGGAACCTTAAAAGAACTTCCTAATCACCTAAAAACTAGGAAAATCACCAACATGAATTAGAAGGATGCAAAAAGCTATCAGAAAGGTTTCAAGTCTCTATCTCCACAGTCAGAAATATAGTAAGAAAATGGAAGGCCACCGGAACAGATCTTGTGAAGGAAAGATGTGCTAGACCAAGAAAATTATCTAAAAGCAAAAGTGAAGAACGGTTAGAATAATCACAGACAAACCACAGACCACCTCCAAAGAGCTCCAAGAACATCTTGCTGCTGATAATGTCACTGTCCATGGTACACTTTTCAAAAATCAAATATGAAGGAGGGTCTATCATGCTATGGGGATGTGTGGCAGGCACAGGTACCGGAAACCTTGTCAGAGTTGAAGGTTGCATGGATTCCACCCAGTATCAGCAGATTCCTAAGAGCAATATTCAAGAATCAGTCAAAAGACTGAAGTTATGCCAGGGTTGGATGTTTCAGCAGGACAATGACCCTAAGCACAGTACCAAGGAATTCATGGTCAGACACCATACAATGTCCTAGAATGGCCATGCCATTCTCCAGACTTGAACATCATCGAAAATCTATGGATTGATTTGAAAAGGATTCTTCGCCCTCGGCACGCGTAAAACTTAAACTGGAGAATTTTTTAAGGAATAATGGTTCAAAATATCCTTATCCTTATCCTTGGCTATAAGCTTCTACAGGCTGTTATTTCAAGAAAAGGTGGCTGTACAAAAGATTGATGTCATTATTTTGTTGGGTTGTCCGAATTTTTTGCACCAGTCTGTTTTTGTTATGACTTAAATGGCATTGCATCTATTGATTAAATAAATGTTATGTCAGAACTTAAATGTTGCTTTGGCCATAGGGTATAAAACATATCAAAATTAATTTGCTGATTTGAAAGGCCAGCAGGCTATGGCTTGCAATTATGAAAATGATCAGGGGTGCCCAAACTTTTGCATGAGACTATTTAATGCAGATATTGCCATTTTTCAAACTTTTTGACCAAAAAAATTGTAGTTTTTTTTTTGTCGATTAATGTCCACATGAAGTGCAGATATTTTTTTAATTAAAATTATTTTAAATGTATACTTTTTAATGATAATTTATTGTTTTGGGAAATCCCGGTGTCATATAATGTTTATGATGTCAAAAAATATTTTATATTTCTAAAAGTAATTCCTAGACAGATAACACTACTTGAAGTTTGCAATCTAACACATTACTTACAACAATTTACTACAATCAGTCACAGGCTACATTTTTTCTGAGCCCAGTTCTTCTGTTTATAAGCTATCCACACAAATAATAAAATTTAATTTATGATTCAGCGAATCCAAGAAATACGAGCTTTAATAGAAACTGATTTATGGCATATGGTAATGCATGACTTATGCTAATAGATGAACTCGATAACATGCATATTAAATGCAAAATCCATCATCCTTAATTCGACATAATCTCCAAATTAGTCGTCTTTGATCTATAGATTCAAACATTATATTGTGGAGACAGTATTAACCAGTGAGAAGTACAAGAGAAAAAGTGAACAAATATAAACTGGCAGTAGAGTATATAAATAAGACGAGAGTTATTAATATAGAGGGATGAGAGTTATTTCCGTTCCAGACAACAACTGTCAGACACACAATATCAACTATTTTCTGATTACCAACTGATATATGATACTTGGCTCATCATAAGAGCAGCCATCAAGCATGACAGAAACACAAAAACAATAAACAAACTCATTTATTTAGGATCATCTACAGCATGGCCATTGGTCTTTCTTTTGTGTACTTTCAGAAGCAGGTCAGAATACAATATTGAATTTATTGACTTTTCAGACTCCTTGTCTTGGGTTTCTTTGTGCTTTTTATGGCTTGTAGTTTTACAGAAAGAGCACATACCTGGGTGTACTGATGGTCTGGGTAGAGGTGCAGTAAAATGATGTGATTTCTACATATAGCTTGCATACTTCAGTTCTTGCAATCCTCAAATTGGTGGAGCTGATTCTGAAAAATATGTTTACATTTAATCTTTTGGCAGACTAAAAATTAGGCCAATAAATGTAATACAATTTAGAAATGACTAACAATAGTAATTGTTATAAGAAGTCACAGTAAGTCTAACACAGTACACAGAGTACAACGATAAAAAGTAAAAAAAAAATAGAATATAAGTGTAAGTTTGGATGCTTTTTAAATAAAAAAAGTAGATAAAATCTCGTCAGTTAGAATATAGAACAGAATGCGTGTATGTATGTTAAAAAATATAAGATGTACAGTATATATGTATAGAAAGTTTAGACAGACAGACAGACAGACAGATAGATATTATCATGAGAAACTGTGTAATTGTTTTTAATTTTCTTTCCCTGATTTTATTAAGATGGATTGCTGGTGATTGGATGGATGTCGGCCCAATTGGGTAGCATTACTTGGACAGAGGAAAATTAAGACCTGTTTAATATTATTTAAGACATACAACACAATACTTTAGTGAGTTTAACATTTTTCTAAGGCCTAAAATTTTGTTTTTGAAATTTAAGACATTTTAAGAACTTTTTAAAGACCCCGTGGACACCCTGTAGACAGAAAGATAGATCATCACTTTTAATGGTTTTGCTGTTTGTAAATAAATTATTAATTTTGTAACTTTTAAAACATTAAAACGTAAGATTCTCATGACCAATGTTTCTCCTGTTGCATTATATTTATAATTGCATTTAGTCTAGTTTAATCAATTAAAGCTAGACAACATCACAATGAATCCCTTGTAATGAAACAAGCAATCAAGCAGTTAGAATATATTACACTTAGCATGACAATATATTAAACATCAATAAAGGTTTCCTTATTTTTAGGCCAAATCAAATTAACCTTATGAGTCCATTGAACTTATATTATGTTAAACAGACCTAAAACAGCTTGAGTAACTTATAAAATTAAGTTTAAAATTGATTAACTTAGTTTAATAAGTAACAATGAACTAAAACATATACTATCATTATAATTGTTCATATAATTTTTACAGTGTATGAAATGGCCTTAGACAACTGTTTTACCTTATTTAGAAGGGTCATGAATATTCTGCTCTGAGACTCATGTGGCTCACATCAGTCACTCACACAGCAGTATGTACTCTGAAATACACGTGCAAAATAATCACTTCAGTCGCAAAAAAAGAATTTGACATATTCAGATATCTTGTCAAATAACAATTGTTTCAAGTTGTGTTACCTGTTGTGGGGATTGGTTTAGGTTTATATTTTGTGGATTTAATGTAAATGAAACAAAGACAGAAATCAATTTCAAACTCTACGTAAACAGATCGTCATTTTACTGTCTCATCACCCCATTAGAATGATGACAAGAAACTTTGTTTTATCGAGTTTATTGATATTATTTAAGGGCTGAATAAGACACAATGTTTGTTCATTAAAGACTTATATGCATACAGCCAGTTTCACGACATAATATAAATAGTTTAATAAGAGTTAAACACACCTTATGCATCCTCAGGATGCCGCTGAACAAACAGACATCCACCTTTTCCAAGCATTCTTCGACGAGCTGTGTCCGGTTTTCAAAATAAGAGTCCCACCATGAAGAAACATGTTCAGCATTGTTGTCATTTTACTAGGAAACGTTGTGGCCACTCAAACGCTGCTTATTAATGATCCAAATACTAGGGGTGTTGTGCAACAGTGAGTTTTTTCATATATTTTTTCTGTGGTCTGTTGTTTAAACAAGATTTAAATAAAGAGAAGGAACCTTGTTGTTTGAGGCTCAAGGTTTATCATTTCTATGCAGCCTACGGAACACTTAGTATTCATTCCTTCATTTTCAGCTTAGTCCCTTTATTAATCAGGAGTCGTCAAAGTGGAATGAACCAACAACTTATTTAGCATATGTTTTACACAGCGGATGTCCTTCCAACCGCAAGCCCAGCATTGGGAAACATCCATACATCTTGCATTCACACCAGAATATTCAATTCACCTATAGCCTAGTGCATGTCTTTGGACTGTCGGGAAAACCGGAGCTGAACTCAACCAAGATTTAAATTATGTTTTTATTTTTAACATGAGATTTACTTCACTTGTTTACAGGTTTTAATTTTAATCAAATATATGGTAAAGGAGCAATTAAGAACATTTGCAACAGCAGCTTTATAATACTCACTTTAATGACCAAACATATTTTGTAAGAAAAACACTTAACTTATGAATATATGTTGATTCTTGGGCATCAAATGACTTCATATGACTTGTGCTTTTGTATTTCAATTTTTTTTAAATATACTCCCACTGATATCTGTGTACTCTTCAAAGTGAAACCCAGTCAAATGTAAAAACAGCATAATTGCTTTACACCAGCACTGGATCACGTCAGCACGACTGCCATTCAACAAACATTGCCTGACATCCAACTATATGTGGTGCTTGAGGGCTCTCAGCCATTACTAGCACCGTCAGTGCGGCAAAACGACAATGCTCCACAAAAGCAGCCCGCAGTGACAGCTCTGCAGTCACAATCCCCAAGTTCACTACATTTAAATGCATGAAATCCCTGCTCTGCATCTCACTGAAGCGTTTTGGCAGATCTTCAGAGACGTGTGGGACAGTCTTCCCACTCTGAGGAACCGTAATGATGAGTCTGTGCGGAGACCTCAATTATTCATTTGTGGAATGTGAAAAAGTGAAGCAATAGAGCATAAACAGCTCTTTAAAAGAAAAAGAGAAGGAACAGATTGAAGAAGAACATTTGCAGTACCTGTAGGGCAGGACTGTCTTTCACACAGTGTCACAGTTTAAACACACAAAAAGGGGGAACAAAACAAAAACAGAATAAATATTTTGTGTATTCAGAGCTTATATCAGGGGTCACCAATCCTGGTCCTATAGAGCCGGTGTCCCTGCAGGGTTTTGCTCCATCTTGCCTGGATGTATCAAGTATACCTAGTAAGACCTTAATTAGCTTGTTCAGGTGTGTTTGATTAGGGTTGGAGCTAAAATCTGCAGGACACCGGCCCTCCAGGAACAAGTTTGGTGACCACTGGCATATATAGCTTCTGAGATATTGTTCCCGGTTTATCAACAAAATTTTGCATATCAGTTGGGTAGGCTAAATTGTCCGTAGTGTATGAGTCTGTGTGTGGATGTTTCCCAGAGATGAGTTGCGGCTGGAAGGACATCCGTTGCGTAAAAACTTGCTGGATAAGTTGGTGGTTCATTCCGCTGTGGCGACCTTGGATTAATAAAGGGACTAACTCGAGAAGAAAATGAATGAATGAATGAATTTGGCATCAGTTTATGTACATATTTTTAAACAATGCCACTTATGTTTACCATAAGGTTATTTTTTTCTGATATTTCAGTATGATAAACAGTTAATTTACAGTCAAATCTATAGTTTAGTCTGCGTGCCAAGAAGCATTTTTGGCTTCTTGACTAAAACACAACACTCCATCAAATTCATATATCTTTTAAAACACTCCAAGTCTTTCTCTTTGTTTACCCCATTGTCTGTGAATTTTGGAAAATCTTAATTTAGCTTGCATTTCTGATTAAAGGACCATTTATTTGCTCATGTAACACGCCAACCATAAACACCCTCTGGGTCTGTCTTCTGCAGCAGCCATGCTTTATTTTTCATGATTGCATTAGCCATGCTTTATTTATCGTTATTGTTCTTGGCTTGAACTGTTTTTTATTCAGATAGCCATCTAATTTTATTCTGCAAGACTTATTATTGACAGTTATTGACAACATTTAACTACATTCCACTGTTTGTGAAATCATGAAAAATCCAAAGAGAGTCCAAAGTATGAGAAAGCTTTGTGTTTAGAATTTTGTTTGGGCATATAGAAAAAAAACAAGAATTGAAACAAAGCTTGTCTAACTTAAAAGACGCATTTGTGTACTTTCTTAAAGAAAGTTTCACATGTGAATTCAGCCCTGAAATATCATTTTTATTTGGTTGTTTTCTCACTTATCAAGTTTTTTGAAAAAAAAAAAAAAAACCCTGAAATTAATGAATGAAACTCATTAATTTTCTTCATTTTTTTACACTTATAGACACTTCAAAAATCATCATTTTCATTATACACATTGCCAAATAAGTACTCAACTCCACATTCTCAATTATTGCTAAAAACACGTATTTACAATGAGCTCACACAACACAATTCTTGAGATATTTTGGCCCAACTTAATTGTTTTATGTGAAATCCACTTAAATTTGTCAAAACCAATTAACCTAATTGGTTTGTGCCAGGACAACGTGAATAAATTGTGTGCAACCCTGGATTTTTTTACAGTGCAACTACAGCTTCACACATTGAATGAAATGCTGTGTATATACAGTATATATAAGTTTAATGAGAATTATAATGTACATAATACATAACCTGACCATCTACAACCGAAATATTTCATAGTTAATGAGGTGCAGCATGATTTATTTACCTATTAAATCTCTGATACTGCAAGCTCAGCAAAACAACAGAAGGCAAAGCTGGAGAGATTTACAAAAACACTTTTGTGTATAGATCTCTCAGTGCATTTAAAAATGGCTATAGTATAACAACAAATCTGAAGAGGGTTTATAACTTTTAATTAGAGCTCCACCAGAGGACTGCTGAATCTGCAGGAAGTGAAAGACATGTTTAAAGATTGCTACTGTGTTTGTTTTGTGAAAGTCAGTGTGTCAAATAGTTTTTGACACAAAGTACACTGTAAAAAAAAAAAAGTTGACAACTTAAAATTTTAAGGTAACCACACTGTAAAATCAAAAAAGTTAAGGTAACTCAAACCATTTAAGGAACCGATAGTTCAAAAACTAATATTAATGAGTACTGTGAACTTAATCCATTTAAGTTGAAATAATGAGCTCTTTAATTATCTCATTAGCTTCAACTGAGTTCAAAAGTCTTTTCAAATGAGTAGAATTAACTTTCATTTAATTTAACTACACTCATGTCATTTAATTAAGTTGACTGTTGGGTTTTATAGTGCAGCTTCAGAACATATTTTTGTTTGCTGAACTTAAATCGAGTCCAGAGCAGTACTTGGGTTGAAAGTTGACTCAAAAAGCTCAAAAAAGCTCTGCAGTAAGTTGCCTTAAAATTTTGAGTTGAGTCAACTTTTTTTGTGTAGTTTTCTTTTCTTTTTTCACTTTGAGTGTATACATGTCTTTACAGTTCAATAAGTGATGTTTAATAAACAAGTTTCAGGAGAAGCATGATCAGTTTTGATGAGGCTAATTCTTTATTGACAATCATTCTATTATCCAATCAGCTTAAGACCAAACCCCTATATAAATAGTCAAACACGTCATACCTCTCTTTTCTCTTGACTTCAGCATCCCTCAACCACCCCAAATCTACACTATTAAACTCAATACCTACTTAAATCTAAGGGGGCGTTCTAGAGCCTGGCTATACACTGTGCTTGGACCCCTATCTCCCTCTCTGTCCTCAAACGCTGAATAATACAAGTTAGGGTGTCTTTCCAAGAGACCTCTCCCTGGACAGCACGTCAAATACATATTCTATTCAATCAAGTAACTCGTAAAAACAGGTATGAATGATTTGTTTAACCTACGGGAAGCTAACAAAATCAAGCAGGATATACCTTTATACCTATAATTTTGTCAGCTGTAGCAGTGAACCGCAACATGAATTTGCAGGAAGATTCAATGAAACTCAATAAAAGTAAAACATAACTGCTTGAATCTAAATACAACATAAATTTAACCTTTCCCCCCCCTCTGCAGCTGAACACGTTTACTTTTGCAGCAATTTTCCAAAGCTGGGGTGAAAAATAACTACTGCTAAAACAGAAGTATATGACTCTTAAAAAGAGAAATGCTTACACAAAGATTGACTTTTCATGCTTTATTTAAAAGCACCTAGCAAAACAGAAATGCATTTTTTAGTAATTCTAAAACTCAAGCCAACTATAATACAAAAACACTGAACAAAATGTGACAGGTCACTGAAGCAGATAAGCCCTTCCTCATCTAAAACATGCACATTTTGTGGAAGTGCACACAGGTGAGCAGACACATTCATCAGTCACCAGGCTTGCTGTGCCTCTCGAGACCATCTGAACGTTTGTATCTTCGCTGCAAAAACTAAGCATAAATAATGGTGTAAAACCTGGCACCGCAAAGACCCCTGTGGGAGTTAGGGGTGTTGTTTGTGCTCCAGAGACGTTTCCTGCAGAGATAATCGCATTCCCTGTTATCCTGAGCCAGCCCCCTGGGCTGAGGTTAGGTTTCTGAACTGTGCAGGTGAGCCTTCAAATGTTTTGTTCAATATTCATCAAAAAAACATGAAGCATACCCCTAAACAGTGTTACCCTCTATCATACGTACAAAACATCTTCTAAAAAAGATTTAACTGTAAGTAATTCTGTAAGGTTCTAAAGTAGTCTGTGGTTAAACATTTAGTTCACTTTTTTCATTCTATTGGCTATTTCTTAAAGGTGTCTGAGAAAAAATCCATACAGGAGAGAATCTATTTTCTGTCAAACACTGTGCACTTGACACTTTTTTTTCTGCTGAGTT